TTGTGTTTTTTTTTTTGTTTTGTTTCTTCTTCTCCTCCCCTGTCATTTATAATAGTTGCACCATTCTCTAATAGTTAATATAAAAACGTTAAATAATATTAGTCGAAGGTATACTCGTATATCGTTCCACGTTCATTTCAGGCGGACACAATTATTGACCACAGCAGAAGACTTTCGAGCCTCTTATCGCTACCGTTACGAAATTCGATAAAATTCTCTCGACTACTCTTCCCCCAAGTTAACGCACGTTGCATCGTGCACGTTCGTGTGTATACGCTGCTGCGATTTGCCAATACTTAGTGTAAGAATAATTTACTAGCCTCCTGTTACATGGTAAATAGTAATAATACCGGTATAATAATCGTAGGTAATCATAACAATGTATATCGTTATCGACAACACGATTAACAATCATAATTGCAACTGGACAATTATAGTATAGCCAGAGTCGAATATAGGAGGGCACGACAGTAAAATTATGTTTTCAAAATAGCACCTTTCCCATAGGACAGAGATCTCAAGCTATTCGTCCGTTCTCCAATCGGCACCACGTTAGCAACAATTTTGCTTCCACAAGAAACGATATTAATAGTAGAAACTTCTTCTTACAATTAATCTTGTCGCACTGGTCATTGAATATTCCCAGAGTTTCTGAATAACGAATGATCCAATGCCTCTTCGAATAATTTCTAAAAATTAAAGTGACGAAATAATCGGTAATAAACCTGATATATAACATTCGAAATATATTGTATCTCCTTTATATAATAGTTTCATGATTAGAACTTATCCTTCGAAAGTTCTCTTATTACTTTTAATAAAAGCGTCTCTAATTATCTTAAAAGTGTCAGTCGCGAATGGACTGCTAAAATCTTTAAATTCTGAATGGACGGGTGTGTTTACGGTTGCAAGTACTTAACCCTTTGCACTCGAAATTTTCTCACTTGAAATGTTCAATACTTTGTAACTAGATGTAGATAAGATTTTTTAAAATTAATTTATTAAGAAATCACACATAATTTAGGGAACTAAAGCTATTTTCTTTCAATATTTCACGTATCGATGCAATATAGAATGGTAAATACCAAGGTTTATAATTTTGCTGTATCATCTGGCGACTGGGAGTCGTCTCTCGAGTGCGAAGGGTTAAGTATGGGTGTCAGTCAATGTGTTGAGACACAAATAAAAAAGTAAGCAATGCTTGGAACACAAATGAAGAGATAAATAATGCTCAAAATCGTGGCTTCCTTTTTTATCGGAATTTCTTCAGATTAGCGATTGAAGTGATCGAAACTTTCCATAGCGTGAGTATCTCTTAACCATCAGTACAGGATAGCAGTCTTAACAATCGCTGAATTTCCGCTCGACATCTAACGGTCGACGCAGAAGATATTTAAACAAAGGACGAAGACGCGCCGCGGCCGTCTAGCTTCCCTACTTTCAGTCTTCCTCTATAGTCCAGTCTAGTACATCATTGCGCAGCTTTATCATCGTTCATCGTCATCTGACAAACGATCGAGTTCCGATAATTGAAAATCGACTAATATAAGATCTCGTTAGAATTTAAAGATTAGATTATATTACCGACGTTCGCATGCAATTCTCTACATGTTGCCTAATCCTCTAAGGGCAAACCTCATCGTTCTCAATCAGAAGTTGCACTGTCTTCCTCGATACTTTCTTCTACGCTTGGACATCTCGTTATTTTTAGAGCGTTATCCTTCTGTATCACGTAAATATAGGTATTAATGGTAATAACGCTTTTGGACAATCATGAAGAATCATAATAGTACTTAGAGCTCTGGAATTGTCAACTTCTGATCATTTTTACCGTCATTAATTTAGCTAGCATTTTATGTGACCTTGTATCAATTATCAATACAACATACAATTAAAAAATAGAATTCTCTCGTTAACTTTGTTTTACCGGTGACAAGCAACATGAAGCGATAGGTATTAAAAAAGTATCATTAAACTTGATCATAAAATTTGAACAAAATTTGAACAAACACTAGTTGAAATTATTGAACCTACACATGTGTTAATACTAGTTTCTAACGTCTATTGATGAAATGTAACCAACAAAGAAGACAATAAAAAAAGAAAATTGTTCGACGAAAGCGTGGTATACATATGATGTATGACATTAACACTAGAACTATCAGGTGGGTTAAAATTACCCATTCCTGAATTCTTCTTTTACAATTATTGAAAAATAATAGATCCTTCTCTAAGAAATTTCTAAAGAAATTATTTTAGTAATACACAAACCAAGTTTTGAGCGATTGACGTCTCGATAGATGCACTCTTGGGGTTTCTATAGAAAAATTTTGAAAAGTCAATTTGACTGCTTAGTAGCCCTAGTGTTAGCCATGGAAGATAGCTGAAGTGATGACGGTACCGATCAGCTTTGCCAATGTAAAACCACCTGCACAATTTGAATACCTAGGACGCAGTATTGACGAAGTTAGGATGTGTGTAACGACGATCCGCTCATTTGCTCTTTCTGTTCAGTTGCTTCGCTAGTTAGCGGACTCCGAATTGGAGGACGGCGAGGATTCAGGACTCTGCGCCAACGGGGTGTCCCTGCCGATTGTAGGTGTGAACAGCATGCCCCGTGGACTGAACGTGTCGCAATAGAGATTCTCCTTTTTATGGACGCGTCGCACGTGGCTTCGTAGGTTGTCACGGCGTGCACTCCTGTACGCACAGTGCGGGCAGAGGTGCGGCTTCTCGCCTGTATGCATGCGTCGATGTTGAATGAGCTGGAACAACAAGGGAGACTATTAAATCCTTTGGACTCGAAAGGTGACTGTCAGTCACCACTTGATTCGATACAGTAAACTTACGAAATTTAATATTTAATATTTAACCCTTTGCACTCGAAAGTTTTTCATTAGAAATATTTTAGCATTTTCTAATGTTAAATGTTAGAAATATTTTAACATTTTCTAATGTTAAACGGTTTCTAATGTTTCTAATGTTTGTTTGAATATTTCTCATATTGATGCATTATACGAAGTTTAATATTAAGTATTAAATTTTATAGTTTTACTGTATGAAATCAAGTGGTGAGCGAGAATCATCTCTCGAGTGCAAAGGATTGATACGTTCGGTGCCACGTGTATCATGTATGGTACATGCCAATTTCTGTAAGAAAATATTTTCTAGGAATACATAGTCACGGATAGTGGTATACGTTACAAAGCAGCAAGAACGTAAAGGAACAATATCAAGATATATAAAAGTTACCAAAAACTTGAATATAACTTAATATTATACTAAAAGAATCAATACAGTTCATAAGCAAAATATAACCGAAATTTCCGTGGCACGAAGCGTGTTAATGTTTAATATTTTGTATAATGCATCGCTATGTGAAATATTGAAGGCAAATAGATTTGCCTCTTAGTTTGTTCCTATATCCCATGAGAAAAACTTTCGAGGGCGAGGAATTAATAATTAGGACTAAACTTTACTTCAAGGCACTATTTTGTTGTAAATTGTTTTACATATATTAATAGTACCCGATGAATAAAAACGAAATTTTTAACTTGAAATTTAGGAATTCATCGATTTGCAAGTTGTACATATAGAAATTAATTAATAAATATGTATATATAGTGGTATAAGCATTAATTTTGTGAATTTCGAAATATGTTATCAACACCATCATCAAATAATCTACAATATCGTGCGTTTGTGATATACCCGTAATAAATATTTATTTTATTGACAGTTTCACTATAAACCATATTAACAATTTAAATATCTTCCAATTTTGTATCGTGCTTCAAAAGATTTAAGACTCACCGATACGATCGCGTTCTATTTGCGTGAAGCGAAACGTTTGATTTATAGGTGACGCAGAGTATATCCAGGTAGTCTATGAGTTTCGAAGGGTCGAGTAGAATTTTAGAGCATCGTATAATTTACGATCACGGACAGAGGATTACGTAAACGCGAGAGACGCAGAAATCTAAAAACAATTCGAGCTCGTGGATTCAATTCTACGCGTGTGTTTGGGAGATTTACGCGATTCCAATTGGTCCGAATTCCCGTGCGACTCGCGGGGGATAAATATTACCTTTTTCAATTGTACTGTGCGGAAAATGCAAATGTCACAGCAGAAGTATCGGTCGTCGCGATGCCTTCTCATATGTCTGCTCAGATCGACTTCGGAAGATTTATCCGCACCGCAGACAGCGCAGCTCACCCTGGTCTCCGGTGCTGTGCCCTTCGCGTGGGCCCTTAAATGTCTTTGAAACGCCTTCTCGATGGTGCAGGCGTACGAGCATAGCGAACAACGATACTCTTCCCTTTCGTATCTGCATATCAAAAGTGTACCATAAGTCGAATTTTATGAGTAATCCACTAATAATAGGATAAGTCGGGGAGAAATGGCCCGCTTTCTTTAGAACTGTTAGGGTAAATCAAGAGTAGATGACCCATTTGTTTTAAACTAGAACTACCAAGCGCTTAAACCGACTTTTCCAAATTTCTTTATAAAACTTATAACCGTCTATTTATTACGATTTCTTATGATATATTTATTACAAAATCAGCTTCTTCAACGATTTCTGAGAGAAACATTTGTACCTTTCCACTAATTATAAAGCAAGAAATCTTCTGGTAGTTCTAGTGTTAAAAGAGCTGTCAGGTCATAAATGTCATTAATACTCAATGAATAACATATGTTTATGAAAGTAAACTATTTCTGATTTCTGCGTATTAAAATTGTACCATAAGTTGAGTTTGATGAGTAATCGTTAAACGATAAGTAACACATAGAAAATTCAATTTTAACTCATTTAAAAACAATTTATATAGGATAAGTATCAAGGAATATGTAAAAAGAATATTCCAAAAAGGCTCATGTACTTCTCAAAAATAAATTCTAAAAATGACATAAAAACGCTACCCTAGACTAGAATACCCTCTCAATTACACAAATCAGTATCTACATGTATAATCCTTAACGTAATACACTTTCTCTTATAATGCTTTTTTCGATTTTTCTAAAAGAAAGCTGAGTTGTAATTGTCGCATGCTCTGTTCTATATAGGACTGTAACTGGTAATGAGATGAAACTCCAAAGTTTTCAGTACGGTGACACTATAAGGAAAAAGTAAATAAACATACCTAATCGTCGGTAAAAGTTTAGAGAAAAATTTCAAGTACCTATACCTGACGCGCTGCAATGCCAATGTTCGCTTCTTTCCGGTAGGCGTCATGCCCTGCGCCACGTGCGCAGCCACGTGGGTCTCCATCTCGCACCTGCTGCTCGTTGTAAAGTCACAGCCCGAGGACGGACAACTTTTCGTTTCTCCACTTTCCGTGCTAGTCACGGGTGGATGGCAATCCACGATGTGCTTCCGTAGGGCGGGTCTCGTTGGCGCGACCACATCACAGGAACCACACGAGTAACCGCGATGCGCGTTGCTCACATTGGGACTGCTACCTCGCGACCTCAAACTTAATACAAAGTTCGGAATCACTAGTTTCGTAATATCAGACCGTGTAAAATGACATGTCGGACTTTCCGGGAAAAAGGAAACCTTCTTTGACGCTCTAAAAGACGTTCATCCAATGATACACTTAAGCATGTTTTTAATGGGTTCCCTTTTTTTGGAAAATTCTGAATGTTTAAAGTGAATAGATTTAACCCTTTGCACTCGAGAAGCGCCTTTCACTCGCTATTTGATTTAACGAAACAAAATTATGAAATTTAAAATTCAATATTAAATTTTCTATAATGTATCATGTGTTGACATGGAACATCGAAACAAAATAGTTCCGTCACTTAATTTATGCAAGGTATTTCTTTGTGTTAGTTGTAACAAATACCATTTCATGAGAAAATAATGAATATTTCTTGAGAAAAATATTCTCTAGTGCAAAGGTTTAAAAACATCGTTATAAACTACTGTTTCGGGTTTACTAATATACTAACGATCGGGTTAACTAATGAAGAAAAATTTGAACTATTGGTGGATCGGTACGAGGATTAAGTAGCTTCTGATGTAAATTATTTTTGTTGAGGAGGATTGACTAACTGATAAATGATACATACTTCTCGGTATAAGACGAATGTTCGCTCTCGGAGTCGCTGTCGGAAGGAATATTTGGGATTTCTGTGGCTTCGAGAGCCGCAGTGGCTGCAGACAGTCTTCCAAGCATGGCGGTGTATGCACCAAGGACCCAACCGTTTAGAACCGGTGTCATTGTTCCTTCCTATTATTAGAAAACGATATTGTTAGAGTCTTAAAACAATTCTATGCAAAAGCCAAACTTTATTCTCTTAACATATTAATTTCCACAATCGTGGAATAACCACATTTATAATTTCGTAAAATAGACGGACTGTGAGCATTTCTGTTAAAGAAATTCTTTTCTTTAAATCTCTTTTGTTACAAAATTTACAGTTTATGTGTCACTTTTTTATGTGTATTATGTTCTCTAGCTCTTTAAAAATGTATAATTGCCTTACACTGTATATACAAACAAATTGTTGTTGTATATGAAAATGTAAGTAAGATGTAACTTGTATTTGGGTACTACTGCATGTATTTTCAACAATATACTATTGTAATTGTTAGTAGAGTAGGAAAATCTTTGAGAAATATAGTTAAGTGCAAACTAATCAGTTGATTCTTTTTTATCAATGGCAACTTGCAATTTACAAGGTTTACGATTTTCCTCTAATATACATTATGTCTATTACTTATCTATTACTAATTTCATTGAACTATATTATCATTTATTTCATTTTTATCTCAGTACTCTTTATCGTAATTTATCGAAATTGTAATTCAATAATGTTTTCCTTTTTCTCGCATGTACATTAATCAAATTGTATGTCATCGTAATGAAAGTACAAAGTGTACGAGTACGTCTTAAAATACCAAACGACGATGAACAATTTATTAGTTAAATAGACTGACACTGTCACGAACTCGTAACGGGAAAACCGATAATCACGCGCATAAATTAATCAAATCTCAAAATGGTATATAAATGAAACTATTCAAAATCAATTTGTAATTACATAACGGAGACGATATTATTATCTACTTTTTTACACTTACTCGTCATTAGCAGATCTCGATTCTTTTTTTAGATTCGACATGAAACCGATCACGAAATTACCCAAATTATATTATTAACATACCTTATCGAAAGCGAGGTAAGACATTGGGTCAAGCAACTTCGCCGGAAGATTATTATTGGCCGAACGATGAGAACTGTTTGTACTTCCGCTGTCGCTATCTTCTCCGGCATCTTCGTTGTCGTTACTTTCCTTTGGAACTGATGTCTGTATAATGAAAATAAATCAACTACATTTCTAATTAAATTTCCGACAAGAATATTATCCGTGTTCCGCCATTCTTTCTTTCTTTGTTAATTTCAAATGTTATAATCTCGTATTCTTTTGACACAGTGAGACATGTACTCGCGACGCAAACTTTAAGTTTAATTAATTGGACAAAAATTAATTAAAATCTTTTTCACACGTTTTTCTTTAAGATTGAAGAAGTTTGAAAGAATGATTCCTGTAATATTCTGATGAATAAATTTACCAATTGTCGTTTTGTTATAAATAGAAATAAATAGAGATGACTTCTGCATCGTCCAGTGTCAAGGAAATAGATGACCAAACTTTGATCGAAAGAAATTCAGAACCGAAAAATAGCTGTAGAACCAATGTAACATCGGTTCTGAGGAACCAAAACCGATATAGCTTAGAATCGATATGTCAAATAACCGTTATGACTTTATTTCAGTTCTACATAATGGTTTTTGTCGGAATCGGTACATAACAGTTTCAAACAGTCATTATCAAAACCTTTTCAATCCCAAACAAACAATATCAATTTGATTCCAGTTCGTTTTAAGTAGACAATAAATTCAATTGGATAACAACAATTTATCTTTCTCTTACATAAAAAAAAATTCTCTTATCTGAAGTTCAGATTCTGAATACTTTTGTGCCCCAATTAGTTCGTATAACAGAAGTTTCACCATATCTCCACGCAATGGTATTGTAAGCCAATAATTATGCCTTTAATTCTGAAAATGGTCTAAGTCATTTGAAGCACCGAAAATCATATTTCCTTATAAGTTGCTCGCAACATTGCACAGTCATCATAAATTCCCATTTTTCAAGGCTACATATTTTCTGAAATATTTTGATACATATAAAAATATTTTTTAATCTATTTAAACATGAACCTTTGAATATCTCTAAACTAGAAACATACTAGTTACTCCTCTTTCAAGATTAACGGCACAATTCGAAGCGTCAGATCTCCACCGTACCTGATTATCATTTTTGTCAGATTTTTCGATGTCTCCTTCGTTGTCGTCGCATTGCTGATCCTCGTTCCCTTCATTCTCTTCCATCTCCGCTTCATCCCTATCCTTCGAGGATTTCGTGACTAACTCCATGGGTCCGTACGGTGGTCCGGCCGACGTCAATGGCAACGGCACCATGTCCGGTCGGTGGAGAGCGTTCAGGGCGAACGCGGCCCTTGGGAGCAACTGTGTCGCGGTTGGTGGCAGAATCGGGTGCCTTCGGGCGAGACGCGGGTCACCCCAAAGTTCACCCGCGGCATGAAGACTCCAGATCCCATATTCCATCTGAAAAAATCATTTTAACACTTCATCAACCGAACGGGGAGATCTCCCGCTTTTCCTTTAGCAAAGAATTGCCATTTGTGCCACTCGTTGGCCAAACCGGATAACTCCACTTTTCGATCAATGCGATCGTCAATACGCTCGATTGATTTCTAACTTCTAGCTGAAATAAATTTCGATTTATTTTTATTATCGTTGACTCTAGTTCCACGAAATTAGAAAAATTCTTTTGGTCGTATCGAATTAGTTCGCTAAATGTCACTCTTATGCTGCGTTATTTGTAAAATAGGAACATTTTCAAATAATCGTTGTTTAGTCGAGTGAATTACGGTAATCCCATTTGGCTGGAGGTCATCTTCAAATCTTCATGGTTACATTATTTCATTAATATTGAAACTACCGATCAGTTAAATGAGCTTTTCCAAATTTTCCTATAGAAAGTTCAAGAGTGCGTCTATTGAAATTTCCATTAACTTACAATTGAGTTCGCACATCTTTCAGTAAAAAATCATAATCGCAAAAAGGAGAAATCAGGAATAGGTCATTTTGACCTGTCTGGTGGTTCTAGTGTTAAATGCGAGCATCCGTCTTCATAAAATGCAAATAAAATTCAAAAAAAGAATGGTGTCACTTCCCGATTTTAAATACAAACACGCGCAAAGTAATCTAATTTTCTCTGTCCAAAATACAAAATGTTCAGCGTCACAAATATGCGACGCTGGTCACGAGCGTGTTAAGCAGCGGTCATTCAAAATTAAATTCATTAAGCAGGGCGAGCCTTAAATGAACCTTGTCGATAATATAAATGTATGTTTATCTTGAAAGATTCCAATAATTACAATAAAGATTCTGGTTGCCAGCTTAGCCCCAATTTATTAGCTAAAGTAAAAACATCTGATCGATGATCATTTATCCGTAACACCGAGCAAGGAGTGCGTTTAAATGGGCAGCACTGATTCTGGCTAACCAGTATCAGCGAGTTCTCAGACCCCTGATGATGCCAGCTGCAATGCTGCTGAAACGTCGGGAACTTTGAACAACATTAACCCTTAATATTATCGTGTAACATCCGTGGAACGTGGATAGAAAGAGCCGATAACGCCATCGACTAATTCTCATATAAAATATAAGTAATTGCATTATTGCGATAACGTCCTACGAGTTGTCCCCTAATGAAACCATGTAAACAGAAAGCTTTCTCTAGTGCATCGCGCCTCACTTTTTAATGCAATACGTAGTTTCGTCTAGAACCTCTAAAAGCAAATTTAATTTAGCCTATTCGAAAAATTTGCGATATATCGATTGCATTAGAGAAGCGCGGTAGAGCGTTCTGCACCAAGCAAATTAAGAGCAACGAGGGATTTTTAATCACTCTGTAAGCGAATCGATCTGTGAGTCTTTTAAGAACGATCGCGGACACATTTAACAGAAAGCCCGAAATAGGAGACGGTTAATGGAAAAGACTATATTCTCCACTTTATCTTGTCGGGATATTCATTGTCCTAGACAGATTTTGATTAGTGACAGATTGATTAGATTACTCGGCGAAGACCGGAATAGAAACGTGATTAATAATAGATTACTATGCCTGCATCTGAAATCTTAATCCTTGCTAAGTGGTTACTCGCAGAGAGAAAAGTTTGATCTGTTTTATGAAGCATTTCTGGCAGAACCAGTGTAACAAGACAAGATAACACGTTCGCTACCAGCGTTTCTTTCGGCGACGATCTTCTCAATTGTATTATACATTTCTCAATTGTAATAATATTTTATTCGATCCAACAGATACCCTAAACGAAATATTGAGAAAACGAAACTAAAATGAGCCATTGAGTTCCTAAATATAATGACGTAGTTTATAATTTAAAATAATAATATCTATAGAATTAATTTCACTTTCTTTATGTAAAATATAGGATTATAACTGTTACAAGTATACGATGTTGGTTAGCGAATGTGTTAAAGAGTAAGATAATTCTTTGACTTTGTGGTTGAGATAGCCTGATTTCATCAAAATTGTCAAATATTCGCAATTTTCTTGAGTGGTACACTGAATTTAGTACAGAAACCTGTATAATTCTTCTTCTTGTAGGGGTATATTTATTTTTTAAAAGTGGACCATCTCTCCATGACTTAGTATATAATAAAAAACGTTGCTTGGGTATCGTCCAGAAGTTTTTACAGATAGGTACTGCTAAGAGATAACATGATCGCTGAGGAATTCGACTGATCGATCAGTTTCCATTTCTTCTCATCCGATTTTCTGTTAATTTTACTCCCTAATTCTTGGAATTTTCGATTGTTAATTTGCTGTTCGTCAATGCGGTTACATGTAATCAATCAAAAGTGTAAAACTGTAAAATAGAAAGGCACATTTTGGACCTGTGCCATTCCGCTAGGCATCAAGTTATCTCCAAACAGTACACAATGTAAGTTACCTATATCTTCTACAAGAACTGCGGAATCAAGATTTTGTTATACAGTGTTCGACTGCGTATACTTAATAGATATTTTAATCGCAAATTATGAGTGGAAATAAAATGAAAATCAATATTGGAGTGTGCGATGAATTTATATGTATACGGAATTGAAATCACGATTTCGGCAGTTTTGATATTCGCCTTAATTTAGCCGATAGAATTATCCAATAAGAAATAATACACAATATCATAATTATAAATCAGTAATCGGGTAGGAGTTATTTGAAATACAAAATAAAAGTATCGCTTAACTTAAAGAATATTTCACATTATTATGTAGGACAATTTTTATTTTATATTTAAGTGATAGAAACTTGGTCGATACTATCACTAGATCAAGTAAATTATCTGAAACAATTGCACTCGGGTACAGGCGAGTCTTGTCTCCATTTGATTGAACTATTTCGAATTTCTCTGCATTGCGGGCAAATGAAAAAAAAACGAGTAGGAATCCAATAATTCAATTTCGATGCGCAGGGAATCGTCTTCTGTCCTCGCACTTCAGTCGTTCACGTGACAAGTGGATGAATTCAACTTTTATGATTTTAAATATTCCTGGTGTTTCGTTAGAGTCATTCCAAATATGTCACATTTACGGAGCTCAGTTTCACGAAAATATAAATGGCAGACTCGTCATCAAGCTGATCGAAATATGCATTGATAAAGCAATTAAATTTTATTCTTGTATTACCACATCTGTATATTCGAATAATCTACGAGTAAAGAAATATATTAAATTTCAATGTGATATTTACGCTACTCATTCTGATTTACGTGTCTATATATTTAATACATCCGTGCCTCGTGCGTCTATGTTTCGTTAAATATATATTTTATATATTTTTCATTTCTTCATAATAAAAATGTGTTTAAGAATAATATTATTTATTATTTATTAATTTATTATAATATAGAAAACAACATTTTTTATATAAAATGAAATGTTATTACTATAAATATAATGAAAGTTATTCTTTTTTACAATAGAAGATAAAAGAAATTAGAAGATGAAATACTGAATTAAAATAAATTGATATTAAGTTAATATAATTATATCTTTCTACATTATCAAGTGTTATAATGAATTAATTGAAACAATTCTATAGTCAATGCATTCAAACTACGGACAGCTATTATTTAAATTATTATTACATAAATAATTTTTATTAAAGTGAGAGGAACGTTCACGTGTTACATTAAAAGCAAACAACCGTTTCAAATATTTGTAAAAATAAAAAGGTGAAAAATGTTTAATATACTGCCCTCATTTTATTCATTCGACTCATTTGAAATAAATTCGAAAGTTTTATAATTCAATTCTATAAGGTATTCAGATTTATGCTACATTTTTTATCACTGCTAACAGTTCATTCTTCAAAGGTGATTATTAGACGTACTTTATAATCCATTAGTTTTTTACAGAAATATTAAGGTATTCTAAATATAATATTATAATAACATATAATTATTCAATTATAATCTGTACTTATCTTTATATGAAATCATATAAATTCATTTTATTAAATATACAGAAACACAGAATACACATTAGCAATAACATTAACAATAAATATTAAACTGACGAATAAATATTGCCAACAAAAGTTCTAAAAATGATATAAAAGATACAAAAGTAGAAGTAACATTTCACTTTACAAATTCAAATTACACAGCTAGATGGATACAACAGGAACATTTAATAATTTTCTTTGCCAGCGTTAAAATAAGGTCAAATAGATTTTTTGGCTGTTTTAATTGCAATTCATTTTATAATGTTTAATAAGGCAGCTCGCAATGGACAAGCTCTGCATTCATTATTTGGAAAACTTCGCTGGCGCTCATTACTCGTGAAACTGTCTGGGCAAACGGTAATCATTTTAATGATCGTTTTTGTTTAAAAAATTCTCTAAACGGACCAGAGCACTTTTGATTACGGAAGTTCACCTCGTGCCCCCTACTCCATCAGCCGGATCCCAATAAAAATAACTTGACAAATGGCCACATTAATAAAGTCATCTAGTAAATACAAATGTTACGGGGCAGAAGACAAATTATATTTCTGATGCCGTGCCACTTGCAATTCGACGATATCTACGAAAAAATATAATTTGAAAAATGGCAATGATAAATAAGAAATGACAACAAAAAGTGAAATAAAGTAAAAGAAATACATAGAAATGTAATTTAAAAATGGCAAAGAACGTTAAACAATAAAATGAAATAAAATAAATACGTAAAAATTGTAATAAATCGATAAACTCGAAGAAATATTCATACACCGGAAAAAGGAACGGTCAATTACTTACAATCAGGTAAAAATGGAACACTAACATAAGAAGATTTGTGAACGTTCTTTCAATGAAGAGTGAAAGAATAATTACAGTGTGTGTGTGTGTATGTAACGTGTATAGTAACCTTTCCCACTGAACAGGCGTTTCTTATCGATTTTCATGCGTAGAATACGAATCCAGCCGTTTTATAGATACAATTACTCTAGTATACATAATATAACTCTCTCTACAA